TCATACTGAGGACTAGTTCCAGGTGATCAGGCCCAAGTCAGGGACACTGCAAGGATTAAGAGAAATATGAGAAAAACTGCAGGATCTGGCGGGGGGGGGGGCAACCTGAGGGTCCTGACTGTCCTCCACCTACAAATATTTACTGCTGAGATCCAATAATCATCAGAAGGAGAACAACATTCTTTGATCAAATGCAAAACCATCTTCTTTTTTTTGGGGGGGGGGGAAGCTTTTTGGATCACACTTGGTGATGCTCGGGTTACTCTCGGGTCTGCACTCAGGAATTGCTCCTGAGGGTGCTCAGGAAACCATATGGGATGCCGGGGGTCAAACCCAGTTTGTCCACATGCAAGGAAAACACCTTCCCCAGTACTATGGCACTGGTCCCAAATACCGAACTATCTTAATCCACCTGGGCTAGACTTTTCCTTTTACATATCCAATGGCCTTAATATATGAAGACACACATTTTTGTAATGGGCTTTCTCAAGAGGAGAATCTTCCCGAAGAGGGACCAGAGAAAGAGCAAGCAAGAGAGCAGTTATAGGATCCCGCTGGGCAGCATTTTGGGTTGAAAGACCCCATAAACTACCCGACCTACCCAGACTGGAGAAGAAAATAAAGACGTCCCCAAACCGGAGCCCTTGAGGTTTGAAATCAAGGGTTGGAGACCCAGATGAACAACATATTAGAACTGAAAGAAACATGAGCCAAAGGATGGCCCTTTCTTCTTCACAAAGAAAGAAGATGAAACACACAGAATCCTACTGAAAGGGTCCAGCTGCGCGTCTCAGAGCGGGGCCGCCAGGAGAATGTGAAGGGAAGTTGGTTAAACATTTCTCTCTCGATCATTTTACCCCAACTTCCTAGTTTGGGAATGTATCATTTTCACTGAAATTGAAGACAGATTGAATCTTTCTCAGATTGTTGGTTTTCATTTCCAAAACGAGAGCTCAACTGGCCTGCTCTTATCAGTGGGTTTGAGTTCAGAGCGAAGGGTGGTATTGTGTAGGTTTCGGTTTGTTTGTTACCAAAAATGGGAGAGGAACCAGTATATCTAACTTTACAGTGGTTTTGTCCCTGCTAATAAAGAAAGAAAGAAAGAAAGAAAGAAAGAAAGAAAGAAAGAAAGAAAGAAAGCCAGCCAGCCCCATTGCTGGCCAGTACCACACAGTCTTTCCCAGACCCCAATAGCACAGACCCTGGAATAAGTCCTGAGCAGAGCTGGGTGTGGACCAACTCATTATCCCCCACCCCAAAAAAAATCTGAGGAGAAAAAGTGAGTTCCCAATATATTATAACACTGCAGTTAATCTTTCCCGATAACATTCCAGCAACAGTCCCTTAAATGCTGTAAAAATAGGATAGCAATTCAGGAAAGGAATTCTATAGGTATGATTACATTATAATTAGTGGCATGGGGAGGACCTTCTGTGATATGCGACTTGCCATGTCAAGAAACTGTGATCAAATCCATTAGCACCCGAGGCCAGATAATATTACAAACGCAGACCACAAGCTCCCATGGTTAACTGGCCTGAATATTTAGGCCAGGGCGCTGGGAATGTATCACACAGCCTGTAGTGTGCGTCTGTTTGTATGAAATGAATGGAAACTTCTCTTCCAGAAGCTAAGACAGTCAATTTCAACTAAATAACCCCGGCCATGGGTGAAGAAATGGGAAAAAGGGAGAGAACAATAGTTTCTAATTAACTAGAAGAGGCCTATGGAAATTAAAAAGTAAACAAAGTGACAACGCACAATCCTTCTGAGCTACTTATATAATGCCAACATGGGGTGGGTGAGGGGAGTCACATTTTTCTGTAATACTTTTGCCAGAAATCTAGGCTGTCTCCATTTTGATTTGTAATATACCCTTGCTTTGACTCGGAGGCAGGTATGATGCATGTGGCTTCAATAATAGGCATCATCATTCCATAAACGCTTTGCAAAAACAGTCCCCCAAAGGAACCTTACCAGAATGAAAATCTATAATATAATCAGAATTAACTGTCTGGACAGATGTCTGCATACTCATTTGCACCGTTAATTCTGTCAGGGAGGAATCTTGGAGAATGACGAGGGGGAAACGTTTGCAGGGGTTTCTTTCTGCAGAACCAGCAAAATCCCAGAGGAGGCAGCCGAGGATTGCTGCTCACAGCTAGATTGGCTCAGCTTGTCAGAGGCTGACGAGCCGGTCACACGCAGGACTCGAATCACATGTCCTTATTCCTTGTCCTCAGCTCCCCTTCGTCACCCCATTTAGTAGCAACTGATTTCTTCATGCCAAAGAGAATAGCTTCTATCACAGTCCCTTTGCAATCAAACTAATGCATGGGAGTTATTTTCGAAGTTTCTCCAACTCCGGTTCCTGCCGAAGGCTTTGAAGCCTGCTAGGCGAGTCAGAAACCTCTTTGGGGTGAAACAGAGAAGTGGGATGGTGTGCAAAGGACAGGATCTGGCTTAAAGGCGAAATCTCATCAAGTCATAGGAGATAAGAATTAGGCAGAAACAACCACAGCACTGAACCGTTTCTGAGTGCAACGCTGACCGAAAGATTTTCACAAGAAATGGGAAAAAATACTGGACTGGATTTAACACAAAGATGGATTTACTCCCTCCAGATCAGTGTACATTCTGGGAACTTCCTTACTAGCTCAGCTATCCCAAACAAATCTAACTGAAATGCTAAGTGAGAGGAGATGCAGAATATTGAAGCCTCCAGACAGGCAGAGCTTGTTTTTAACTTCTCATACCCAGGACCGACCCGACACCCCATCTCTCCTTCTCTACTGGACATTAAAATGCAGTCAACTCAAGGTTACGCCATAGCGGAAGGTACTTTCATAAGAAAGTCCCAAACTCTGGGATGGCATCAATGGAAGCCGACTTCAGGAGAGTTTGGGATCTGTCAGGAGACGGTGGAACAATTCTAATGATCTCCTGAAGCCCTTTACTACAGTAATGTCACCCACTCTAAGCATATAGTGCCCCTTTATGAAAGTTTCCAAGCTGCCTGGCATTCAGCAGGCTGGGATGGAGCAGTCCTTCCACAGACTGTCCACTTGCTCTATGCACTGGAGCCTTTTAGCAGGTGAGGCTGTTAATACCGACTCTGGTCGAATAGTAACTAAGTCTCCCCTTCCGGGAAAACTAGCAGAGAACCAAGACTTCTCCCAAAGTTGCCTATTTGGCTGGAGCTTCCGTTCATTCCTGTCTCTATTCATAGTGTTCCAAAAAGTCCTCAACATTTTTAAAGAAAAGACAGATTCTCCTTGTTGTTCTCCTTCACCTAGGCTTTTCAGAAAAGAGCGAGGGAAAGAAAGCCCAAGGATTCTAGGGAAGAACTTATTGCGGGGAAGTTACTGAAAGCTTCAATGCACTTTCTCAGTGGCTCTTCTTCCTCTCCCCTCACACCACCCCTCACCCCTACCCCACCCCACATTATCTCTTTAAAGACACTTAACTGTTTTGATGTTGCTGGCTGTGTATCCCTGCAAACTTTCCCTTTTTTAAAAAAAAAAAGGCCCCTTAAACTCTACTAAAATACATTTTTTTGTGCTATTACTCTGATAGTCAAGATGCATTATTTATCGTTTAGCGGGAGCCATTCATTCGCAGGCTTTTGCTTTTTCTTTTCTTTTTATTTCCCCCCTGCAAACTTCTATCTCCCTACTTCTGTACTGGGGGCACTGAGAGGTTGCAACCTCTCTGCTTACAGCAGTTCCAAAAGACCAGACCTACGAATATTTCACTCACTAACGATCTAAATAAAGAGAATCCTTCAAGTCCCTCCCGGGCTCAATCCGCAGATGCACCAAGCCCGAAGTCCCCTGGCCCTGGCGGCTGATGGACCCCGCGTTCCCGCCGGCCCTGGGCTGGGTCCAGTGCACTCACCTGAACTTCAGCTAAGACCTCCGGGCGGCGGGCGCGCTACAGCGTGCAGCCAATACCGACCGCGCGTCCTTTCCCACGCATCCACGCCGGGAGGCCAATGCCAGCCACCTCCGAGCCCGGGGCTACAGGAGCACCGCGGGGGGAGTCCAGCGCGCACGAGGAGGAGCGCTGGGCGCGCGGGGCCGGGTGGATGCCCAGCTGAGGGCGGCCGGTCTGGAGGCTCTGGGGCTCCGAATCCCACCGACCCCGCCGGCAGCAGCGGCGGAAAGGGGCCGGGAGTCTGGGGCGCCGCGGGGACCCCCGCACGCGCAAGCACACGCCCCTTCCCGCGACCGCGACCCCCGCCCCGCTGCGCGCTCCAGCATCCCCGTTCCGAGGGGGCGCGGGTGGACCCCGACCAGCGTCTGCGGAGGGGGGGGGGGGGGCAGGGAGGTGGGCTCCGTCCACACTCGCGGCGATCCGCTCCCCCCTCCGCGAACTCGCCAAGTCGCGTGGCACCCAGCGGGGTCTCCACTCCGCCTCCCGGGGGCCCCGCGCGCGCCCTCCCCGCGCGGCCAGAACTTGGGTGGGTGGGAGGGACGATCACACGGGTAACAGCCGCTCGAGGGGGTCCCGCGGGCCGGGGCGCACGACGAGGACGGACCCCACGCCTCCGCACTCACCTGGGGTCTCGCTCGCCGGGCGCTGGGGGGGACCCCCGGGGCGGGATGCGCAGGGGGGAGAGGGGGAGGACTCCGGGACCCGAGCAGGGGAGGGGGCGGCGGGCGGCGGCGGCGGCGCGGGCTGGTGCAGAGGCGGCCGCTCGGCCGGCCCGCGCGCGCAACCCCCTCCCCCTGCGCGCACCCCTGCGCACCCCCGCGCGCCCCCCGCGCCTCCCCGCTGCCCGCCGACCGCGCGCTGCGCTCGGAGCCGATGCCCGGGAGCCCCGCGGCGGCGCCGCCGACGGAGCTGCAGCCGGAGCAGACGAACCGGGCCCCCCCCCTCCCCGAGCCGCACCGCGTAGGGTGTGGGGTGGATGGGGAGTGGGAGGGGTAGGGATGTGGTGTGGAGGGGCCGGAGCTCCCCAGGCCGAAAGCAAAGTGGGCAAAGTCAGCCCAACTTACAGCATCCGGGCCCGGCGCGGCTGCCCTTTCGCTCTCCTCCGGCTGCCCTAGTTGGACTTTTCTTGACAGGCGCCACCAACGCCCTCCCCTCGCGGGCCGTCCAGTGCCCAACTTCCCAGGTGTGTGATTTACGGATGGGTGGGTGGGAGGGAGGGGGGGCTGCAAAGACCGCAGCTGGCGCGGGGGTGCAGGGCTGGGGTGGACGGACGGGGAGCGGATACGCGCCACCAGCAAGATGCGCCGCAGCCGGTGCAGGGAGCAAGTTGCAGCCGCTCCCCTGCCCGGAGCAGCCTCCTCCTTTACCTGCCGGCGAAGTGTCCGCTTTTTTGGGGGAGGGGGTGAGTCGCCGAGGGATGGATGGAGCTTCAGGTCCGAGCACGCCCGCTGCCCCTCGTCCTCATGCTGTCCCCGGGCGCGCGTCCTGGACGGCGAGGCTAAAAGTGCGGGTGCGGCGGGCTGGGGCTCTGCAGGTCCCGAGCTGTGCCGGCTGCCTCAGACCTGCCGCCTCTCCCCGCCCAGCCCCTCCCCTGCCTGCACCGAGCTCGCATTTCCCACGTCTCTAGTTCGCACCCTCTCGTCTGCTTCGCCCGGCCGTGGATTCTGTGCGAAGAAGACTTCCAGCCACAGACATGCCGGCCGTTGGGATGCAGCTCGGGGTACCCTGCGCCCCGTTTGCAGCGCGTCGCTTCATTGAGAAAGTTCTGCCTCTCCGCCTGCTAACCTTCCCCTGCTCCAGGCGTGCCCTGCAGCCAGCACACCCCGCCGCCAGCCCTTACCAAACCTCAGGACGTTTAGCACCGACCTATCTCTCCTCTCTCTCTCTCTCTCCCTCTCCCCCCCTCAGCGCCTGGATTTTCCCAGGATGCACTTCTCTGGCCGGGTTTGCATCGTTCTCTAGGTACCTAAAATTATGGCTTTATCATAGAGCTCTTTGACTTGTTTTTCTTTTTTTTCTTTCTTTTTTTTTCCTGCGTTAAAAACAAACAAAAATAATCTCCATTCGCGCCTGAACAATAGCAGAGTGTATGCTTTGCTTTCTAAAGCCGGTGGGAGGTTACATGGTCTCTTGAGCACAGCAGTGAGAGTAGTCCCCCAGCACCCCTGTGTGTGGACCAATCTCCCCCAACCCCCCCCCCCTCAAAAATAAAAACCCCTTCGTTGTCCTGGTAAATATTCAGTCTACAACGTTACAGATTTCTAATGGTGTTACCTACATTTGTGATGCTTAGTGTATATCGTGTCTCTCCACCTGGGTTCATGTGTCTTTTGGGGGCCCCAAGATATTACAAGGGGGTCACGGTGAAAATTGCAGAGGTCCCAAGCAGCAGGACAGGAGAACCACAGAAGGTGGGAAGGGGCCACCCTTGGAAAAAGCAAGAGAAACACTTCTAATGCACTTGCCTCTGAGATGGAACTTACAAAAACGTCAGAATGGGTGTTCAGCGTAATCAAGACACAGCCCATATTTGGGTCAAAGTAAATACTTGTTGAATAAAGAAATGGATTGTTTGCATCTTAGGCAACAATGAGCACTGCTCTGGGAAGTTCAAGTTTTATGTAAACTCCTTCCTTGTTTGTCTGGGTCTTCCATTTGTAAGAGGCAGAAAATTGATCAGGAGTCAAGCAAGCCACCATCTTAATGTGCTAGCTTGTTTTAATTCAAGGACACCACACACAGGAATAAATCTAGAGGCCATTTTTATTATTCTGTTTCTTCTGTTCCCAAATTTGCTGCAAACATGCATGTCTCTGTATAAATGCTCTTGCCCTCTGAAGTTTTCTGTGCTGAACCAGATGCCCTCATGCCCTCCATGGACCCTTGTGAAAGATGGTTTTAATCATAACTTTACCCAGTTTCTAGAAGGAGTGACCTGAGCTCAGTAGGCAGAATACTAGGTTTAATACTGACAAGCCGCTCATCACTGGGACAGGTCTAGACCCTCCCACCAAGCAGGAACAAGCTAGAAGACAAAGATGAAATTCTGATTGGAATCACATGATAGCCCTTGATTATCTAGAGCGGTCACAGTGATCTTTTATTTTTTTAATTTTATTTGGGGTGAGGGCAAACGTGAGGTGCTCAGGGTTGACTCCGGCATCCTTGCTCAGAGATTACTCCTGATGGTGCTCAGGGGAGCATATGAAGTGCTAGGGATAGCACCAAGTCAGCCATATTGCAATGCAAAATGCCTACTGTGCTAGCTCTTGAACTGAGTAGTTCCCCACTCCCCCAATTGAGGAGGGCCTCACCTGACCATGCTCAAAACTTACTTCTGGTGGAACTCAAGGGACCTTTAGGATGGTGTGGCTGGAACCCAGAGTGAACTGCAAGGCAAGTGACTTCCTTGCTCTCTTATTCCTCCAGCCCAAGTGTTGTCTTTCTCCGCAGATGAAACTTCCACTGAGAAACGAGTTCGGGAATGAGCTGGGCATGTGGAATCTGCTGGAAAGTCACTGCAGGTGGAATAAAGAAGACAAAAGTCTGCAGCGAGTTGGGTGTTTTTAGGGCACTGCATGGCAAAGAAGAGAGTAAACATGTAGGATGTTGGGGCCATGTGGCAAAGGATGGACCCTGCAGAGAGGTATCCTTCTGGGATAATGTTTCACTGTGTCTTTTACTTTGGAGGAAGCTTGGCATTAGGGGCCATGGATGCAGGGAAGACACCATGGGGTTACTCTGTACTCACGTACAGGAACAAGACATGTTTTACAAGCTCCATTTTCCTCCCCCCTCCTTGGCTTCCGATATTGGTTGATTAGAAAGGCTAGCATGCTGAGAAACTCAAATAAAAAGAACTGTAGATAAATAGCTAGGTGCTGCCAGATGTTTTAAGAGTCCATGAAATACAAATGTAGGCCATAACTGCATATGCTCACTTAGGAAATTTCATGTTTTACATCTAATTTTCAAATTTATGATTTAATATTCATATACGGAGAGCAATCTTTTTGGAAACTCTTGGTGGAAGGTTTTATTTCTTTGCCTAATGTCACTGAATGCCGTACACACATTTGATACATTTCCTCCTTTTTTCCCTACTGGAAAAGAATCTTACTCTCTTGATTAAATCAATAAAATAACCTGTGCAGAGCTATATTTTGAAGGAGGAACAAGGAAAGGTAGGAGAACTCTGTTGTGGTTTTTGTCACTGCAGAAAGTACTTCCCTACATGTTTTATCTCCCAAAGCAGGGTTGGTGCAATTAAGAAGTGTCTGATGAGATTGCTGATTAGATCATATTCATCCTACCCCTTCTTAACGCTAACGCCCAAGCTGCAGCATGGGTATCTGCTAGCTAAGGGCAGAAGAGCTAATCATTGAGAACTCAGTAGAGATTCTAAGGAGCCAGGGGAAAGTAGCTGTGTCAGAAAGTAAGGAATAGTTTCATAAGGCAAGCTCCCCCAAAGTTTGGACCATTTATAGTATCTTGTGAATATATCTCCCGATATAACATGGTGGCTAATAAGAGAAATGCATCTTTTCATTATGCAGTGCTTAGCGTTTTCCTAAGAATGTATCTGTCCTTCAGTTCCTTTCATCTAAGTATGCATCCATCTTCTTGAAAAGTCAGTTCGAGATTTTCTGGCTCAATACAATCGTCATTTGTTTGTTAAATATTAACAATCTCCCACTTTGTGAATCTGAGAATAGGGAACGGAAACCCCCAAATGAATAAGGTCCATTTTTTTCAGACGTTTTCAATCTGTTGTAGAAAGAAAGGGTGGCACACATTTCTGCCACACACCAGAAGCCTTTCGAGGACACGAGCGCAAAAGGTCAAGTGTGGGATGACATAGCAAGATCCAGAAATTCCTGAGTGGGAAGGACAAATGTTTGGGATGTTTGGAGGAGTATGGGATCCAGGGGTCATTTTATGAAGTTTTGTTTTTTATGAAAGGAGACTAGGGTCAGCATTGCAGTCAACATCCAAGAACGCCCTAGATGCCTTTTGAAATCAGCCTGGAGCATGGGATGCAGAAATGTTTAGGGGATTCTAGAAATTCATTTGAGAAGAATTTTGGCCTAGGCACTCAACTGTGGAGCAAAGATCTGATCATGCATTGACTGCTATCAGAAAATGCAAAGACATGGAAGATGTCTTGGGCCCAGAATGATGGTGCAGCTGCTCGGGTGCTTGTCTTGCACGCAGCTTACCCAAGTTTGATCACAGGTACCCCATAGTCTCCAAACACTCCAGGAGTGATCCCTGAGGTCAGACCCAGGAGGACCCTGTGAGCACGGTGGAGTGTGTCCTCCAAATAATAAAAATGAAATAAGATAAAGATGTTTAGAGCATGAGTATGGATATATCAGAGCATGCATGAACACTGAGAGAAGGGAGATAAAGTCTCTTCTAATTAGTTAGCCTCAGGGGGTCACCCCAACTGCATCTTATTAGTGACCCTGCCCTTCCAAGAATCCTAGACTACAGAACTCAAATGTTTGGGATAATGTAACCATTGGCCCCTTGGGAAGTCCTTAGGGCTGGTTTTCAGTGTCTGAAAAAATGAATTCAAAGTGAGTACTTACTTGCAGAGCTTACCACTGAGTAAAGGCACCAAACATGCTCACAATGTATTGGACCTGCCCAGCACCACAGGATAACTCAGGAAATTCCCACGTGTCTAATGGGGTTGAAGGGACTGTCCCCTCCATTCTCCTCAGGTGAGAAGGCAGCAGGATGGAAGAGCTGGAGCACGCTCAGCTCCTATGGGAAGGGAGGTGTGATGCCCAGGGTTAATTTATTTTGGTTAATTTATTCTGCTAAGCTGCTGCCCCGATGCTCAGAGGTTCCAGGGAGCTTGGTCCTCACCACAACCACCAGGGCGTGGGGAGAAGACTCTGTAGCTCCCTGGTCCAAACCTAGAAAGTCAGCCAATCACCCTGGACAGAGATGCTGACCCAGTCATTGTCGGTCACAGTTCTCATTGTGACGTAGCCAGGCTCCCTGCCATGTGTCAGGTTCCTCAGCAGTGTCTCCTGAATAGCCAGCACACTCAGATGAGCACTTGGTTTTGCCTTGGCTTATGTTGCAGAGCAAGGGAACCCTCATGGAAATAGCATATGGGACTCCC